CAGAACCTTCTCCAATTCTAATTACTTCTTCCTCCCCCCAAAAGACACCACTCATTTTTCTAGCAGCCAGTGATTCTCAATAGCAGGTATTTGGAAAAATGGGGGAAGGGGACAAGTTGGTTGACTCTTGACTCAGTTAGAGTAATATGGGCATTTAGTGACTAGGGATGCTAAGCATACTATAATGGACAGGAAAGTTCCACACAATGATGAGTCAGTCTATCAAATGATGAACCATTCTATCAAAAAGCTAATAGCACCTCCCCTGAGAAACACTGAGCTCCCTCATTTGGGGAAGACAAAAGTAGGAAAGAAAGGCAAACTGAAGAGAGGAGGGCAGTAAGAGGACAGGCAATGCACCCCAACAGAAGTGAGGTCATCAAGTAAAGGTTATCCAAGGATTAGTCTCAGCCCCCATCAACCCCGGCCCCTCACCTCCAGCGATAACACTCGTGGCACACAAACTCCTTATTCTCATTCCCTCTACCACAAAAAACAATGGACTTTGATTTAAATTACATCTTTTAAAAATTATCTTTATTTCCACATCTTTTCATCTGTTCTAATTATGACAGTTTCTGAGCAACTAATATTGGTAGTAATAATAATAGATAATATCAACTAAAAATTCTTCCATGTTGCTCAAGGGCTTAATTACTAAATCTGTGCTGTAATATGGAAAATTTGCTTTAGAGACTAATTCCTTAGGGGATAATTCTTCAGGGATTACTCTGCTGAATTAATACCCTCTTATGAAACACTGTTTGAGCCATGCTGGGACTTGGAACAAGGGGGAGTGAAAATTCTCTTGCCACCTCCCAGACTCTTTGTTAAGCTCTAGGCAGTATCAGGAGAGACATACTGCACAAACAAGCTTCACCACCAAGGGTCAGGGCATGGAGAGACCAAATGGAAAGAGACAGCTCAGCAGGCTTGGATTAAAGGGCAAATATTTTAGAGGCACTACACTCGATTATGTCGGAGAGACAGGCTCATGGCACTTTCCGTAACAAACAGACGCCACAGAGCAAGGTAAAAGGTTCAGCAAGACATACAGACTGAAAGGCTCCCCAGGATGGAGCTGTCCAAAACGCAATTCTGTTTAAAATGAGTTGAGGTCTTGTTATAACAAGAGCACACTATCACCGCAGATGCGGGTTTCCATGAAATAAGGTCCTTACAGACTAAAGCAATGCTGTCCAACAGATCTTCCTCTGATTGTGGACATGCTCTGTGTCTCTGCTGTCCCATATGGTAGCCACTAGCCACATGAGGCTACAGAGCACTTGAAAAGTGGATAGTGCAAATGAAGAACTGAATTTCTAATTTTATTTAATATTAGTTAATTTAAATAAAAACAGATCCATGTGGCTAGTGGCTCCTGTCTTGGACAATGCAGGAAAAGGTTTAGACTATGGTTTAGGAAAATGATACAAGAGGCTATCACACAAAAAAACTGTTATATATCATCTGACTGCCCAGAAAAGTACTTCCTCAGTACCCTCCCCATCACAAACATCAGAAACCACAAGAGCAGTGCTTCTCAACTTTATCTACCCATCAGAATAACCTGGAGGTCTGTTAAGCAGTTAACTGCCACGCATCCAAAACGAAAACCATCCTTGCATCTACAGACGCCTATGGCATACAAAGGGTTAAAACACTGATTATTAGGCTCGCTCCCAGATTCCGATGAAGTAGGTCTAAACATTTCAAACAAGTACCCAGGTGGTTCTGATGGTCCAGGGCCACACTCTGAGTAGCACTAGGATAAAAATGTTAACATTCAAACATCAGCCTATCTCTACCAAAATGGAGCTTCCTTCCCTTGTCACCTTTCTGCTATACTGAAGTGCCTCTTTGCTCAAGGTACACAGAATCCTTCTCAAACATTCTTACAAGGTTTGCTTAAAACATATGACTCTAAATGCATGACAGAATGTAAATAAACAAGACTCCACATATTAGATCCACCACAGAGCACATTTGTTGTAAATTTTGTGAGTGTGTCTAGTAACTACAGGGACCAGAAACTCAGAAAGGCTCAGAAATCCACCAGGACAATTTATGTCGAATCCCTGCACTGGCCCTGTTTTAGAGTCCAACTGAGGCTTTCTATTATAATAACATGATACTTCAGGTCTAGGTCAGGGTTATGCCCTCTTTCCCCATCCCAACACTGAGTAATGTAAGAGGAGCAAAAAAACACACATCACATTAAAGCATGTTACTTATCATTGAAAGGGCACACGTTGAAGATACCCCTTTCCATATTCCCAAAGAAGAAAAGAAACAAATGTAAAAGTTCTAGGATAAAAACAGATTTCTCCAAACATTCTCTGGTCTTTATTGTATTGCCTGCAAAACCTATTCTAGGATCAGTAATCATTCAGGAGGATCTTTTTCTTTTGGGGGTTACTTCTTTATGGCCTTTGGTCTAATTATATATGAATCTCTTAAACACTACAAGACCATCCTGTCAAAAGTAATTTCCTTGACTGCTCTTCTGAATAGCCTTCCTTCTGCCTCCTCCACTCTCCCATTTTTAACTTTCCAAAAGAAAACCTTCAATCAGAAAATATTGTTGCAATAAACTAGGACATGAAGCCTTCAAATAAAATCAGAATCCAGGACTGTGCATCCTCTCCCAAGGCATTAACCCTCTGCCCTTCTTCAGACTCCACTGTCCCTCAAATGCTGCCTCCACAAGGATTAAGAGGGATCCTTGTGTCCTGGAAATTTGGGGAGCCAGGTATTGTTTCTTCATATTTATAGAGCTCCCAGGTGGTCACACAGTGATTTTTGCACATCACTGTCTTTGGCTATTGAGTTATTAATACTGTGTCTATTTTACAGGTAGGGAAGCTGTAGACAAATGAGGCTAAATGATTAAAATGCAGTCCCAGGGAAACTCAGAGCAAGATTAAATTGCTGGGCTACTGCAGCAGTGGTTCTCAACCAGTGGCCATTTTTTCCCCTCAAGGGACATTTGGCAACGTCTGAGGACATTTGTGATTGTCATGATTGTGGAGGAGGCACTACTGGCATCTAGTGGGTAGAGGCCGTGGATGCTGCTAAACATGTTACAATGCACAGGACAGCCCCCCACAACACACTGCCTAGCTCAGAATGTCAACAGTGCTGAGAATGGGAATACCTGACTCTCTGGCATTTCTAACAGTATTTCTTTGGCCCACAAATCAAGTTAGTGAATGGCTCCATCTACAATTTGATCCTTGTACAGTATTTACACAGAAACAGGCCAGTTGAGTGCTATTTCGGCATGCTATATTTTTTAGTTACTTTAAAAATAGAAGATACAGTCAGCTCTCCATATCCATGGGTTCCATATCCAATCAACCATGGATTGAAAATATCCAGATTAAAAAATTTCCACAAAGTTAAAAAACAAGCGAACTTGAATTTGCCATGCACTGAGCACTACTTGATTCCACAGGAATAAAGGGCTAGCCATACCTTGCTGTAGCCTATATGCAAATATAGGTCACATGCAAATACTATGCTACTTATATAAGGGACTTGAGCATCCACAGATTTGGATATCTGAGGGGGTCCTGGAACAATTCCCTCCAGATACTGAGGAATGACTGCACATGGGAGCCACAGAGGAAATGAGGAAAGACAGCAAAATCAGCTCCTTTCCTTTCAGGAGAAAAACCTAGAAAAGACCAGGTCCTTTCCTTAGCAACCTCCAGGCCCTGAGCTATGGTCTGTGTCTGGCTGCTCACCTAGATTCTTCAGTTGCTGACGGACTCTGCAGCTGCCTTTTCTCTGCTTATCTCTGAGCACGTGCATCACTCCAGAGAAGTAATGGTATGCTTATGGGAATCTCCAGAGAGGTACCGCCCCTAATTGTCTATTTTGTTCAGTAAATTGTACTCATTACTGAGCCACGCGAGGCACCAATGGACAACAGCCTTTCTGGGAGCCCTCTGAGTCTGGGTAATGGGACACTGTCTGACAAGGGCTCCACAGTCTTGAGCTAAGCTGCTTCAATAACCCTCTATCCAGTTTTTCAGCTGAGTACTTCTTTTTAACTCCTGTCCCTCCTTCCCAACCATCCTTATATCTGCTTAGATTTGTATTACTTACAGTTTTCTCTTTAAGGAGTCTAGTTTTAATTTAAGCACCAGAAGGTAGAGAGCTCAGAAAGGATATGATATCTTTCCACCTCTCCATCCCAGTCCTCCACCTAGACTCTGAAAATCTTCAGCAAGAATGAAACCTGCAATCTAGCTTTAGTTATAATACTCCCAATGTCCACATCCATTGCCCTAGGGCAGTGATGGCAAACCTTTTGAGCTCGGCGTGTCAGCATTTTGGAAAACCCTAACTTGACTCTGGTGCCGTGTCACATATAGAAATTTTTTGATATCTGCAACCATCGTAAAACAAAGACTTATATTTTTGATATTTATTTTATATATTTAAATGCCATTTAACAAAGAAAACTCAACCAAAAAAATGAGTTCGCGCGTCACCTCTGACACGCGCGTCATAGGTTCGCCATCACTGCCCCAGGGACTGCAAACAGAAGAGGAATGAATGAACATGTGAGTTCCAGTAACACTGGGAAGATAAAACAGAACGGGCGGAACTACATGCTTAGCTATTGCCATTATCTACCAAACTTGAAATCATCAACTCTCTGGTAAGCTGTCTTTCCTCCTCGAAAAAGTGATTGATGGGGGAAGTGTCGGGGGGGGGGGGGGGGCGGGGGACGGGGGGAAGGATGGAGACATGTGTAGTGCTCTTTGTGGTACTTTAAGAAATAAAACAAAATTAAATTTTAAAAAAAGTGATTGATGAAGAAAAAACCAAGCACAGTGATCCATGAAGGAGGAGGATGCTGAGAGGAGAACAGGAGCCAGCAGAGTTAACACTGTGAGAGAACGGAAGACAGTCAGGCCTAGTTTCCTTCTCAGGAAGGGCCCAACACACCTCCCCACACATATACATCCCACCCCATACAAACTCACTAAAAATTCTTGTGTTGAGATATTTCTACGCACAGATCCCATCCGATCACCCTGATCATGGTTTTATCTTCATAATTGTTGATTTTTCACTGTGTCCATGAATTGAATCAATAAAGAGAACCTTCCACTGCACTGACTCCAACTAACTGTTGAGACAGTAAAACCAGAGAAACAGTGTAAGCGAATGTCTTTGACTTACCCTGGAGTAGAGGGTGTGAGAGCCTTCAAACACACTTACATCCTCATGACCCATCAGTTCTGCTGCTTTTCACCCACTCACTTCTGCATGTTGGACTACGACTGATTAATCACCAACTGCCAAAGACAAAAATGAATGAATGCATTAGACCAAAAGACCAGTAACTTCAAGTCCCAAGCCACTGCTCAAGTGAATTTGTTAAAGTAGGCTGAGTGCTAACATATAGACCCCAAAACATGTAATGGCTCAAATTAAAAAAAAACACAACTTTATTCCTGGTTCTTGCATACATACTGGACAGGTGAACAGGTCAGTCAATGGAGTGAGCCTCCCTGTTCAGTGATCTAGGCACCCAGGCTGACAAAAGTCCTGCCTTTAAAACATGTTTTCCAAGTTTGCCCTAGGGTCCTCTCCACCCCAGCCTGTGACCTCAGGTTTAAAGTAGTTCTGGGTGAGACACTAGCTCGGTAGCCCTGATTGGTTACTTAACAAAAGAGTCTTTGTTTCCTGATTTCCTTATCTGTAAAATACCCTGCTTCCCTCATTGACCCAAGGGGTCAGTATGAGACTCAAAAATGAGACCTAGCACCCTTCAGACTACAATGAGCAGGCAGAGCACCTGGCCTCTTGATAAAATGCAGATTCCGATTCAGTAGGTCCTGGGTGAAGCCCGAGATTCTGCATTTCTGACAAGCTCCCAGATACCAGTGCTGCGGGCCACACTTTAAGTAGAAAAGAGATGAAGAACTAGAGAATGTTTTTCTAAACCACAAAGTGATTTTCAGATATAAAGAATTATTATCCTGGCACTGGCTATGATTATAAATGAATTCCCAACCAGCCAGCATGTTTAAGACATGTTTAGTCTAGGTTCCAAGGAAAATTTCACAGTCACGGGACTTAGAACTGCAAAGAATGTCAGTGGTCACTGCTCTTTCTTTATATTTTCCAGACAAGGAAGCAAACTCAGAGAAGTCCGTGATGTCTCCCAAATCTCACAATAACTCAGTAAACTGGGACCAGAATTCATAAATTTGATATCATTCTGTTATTACAGAAACTCAATTGACAACAATCTTCTGAAGAAGAAAGGGTAATTTTTATTCTTCTTCTAAATCAAGAACAAATACTACTCTGGCCCATATCTAAAAAGGTACCAGAAGGTGGCATTCATCAGCTTGGGTCACCATGGTAACAAATGTCAGCAACGTGTCACAGGACCGACATCAAGAGATGTTCAGGAAAATGATCTTCAAAATGTAGTGATATCCACAGTTATGCCTCACTTGTCCAAAAGGTGACTTGAACACAAATTAACTTCTGTATACCTTCTGGGGAAAAACAAGAATTTTTATTTTCAACATTTACAAATTCTGAGTCACTCCTATTTGGGAACAATTTGAAAGAGAGAGAACCTAGGAATCAAACAGAAAGGGAAATAAAATAACTAGTAAAGCAGGAGCAGTGGTTTCTGGGTAAACCCTAGGGATAAATAAAGGAACCCCAAGATGTTTTATCCCTGGCATGTAAATCATTTTGCATGTCTGAGATCATGGTGAGTCCTAGAAAGTAAAAATGTTAGGGCCTCAGAAGTGAACGAGAGGAGTCAGAAACTCTTAAGTCATAAGTCAGAAAGGCATTGATTTATCTGGAAATCAAACCAGATTGGGGAAGAAGGGAGGTTCTTTGTAGGCATGTCATCTCTAATAAAGCAATGTGAATTTAAAAGTATTTTGGGAAATGAGAAGGAATACTATTGAGCAAGGGATGATAAATGGAAATCAATACTTACATTTCCATTATCAATTTATGATGGGTGAAATGCTATTGCTAGCATCCTCATTTAGTGAGCAATTTTGAACTCTTTAATAAAGGTAAAATGTTCTAAGAAGTTTGACAGCTTACTTCTGTACTCCAACCCCAAACCCTCTTCCACCTTAATTTCTTTAGCACCTCAAAAATTCCCCCAGCCTGGCAATTTTCCAGAACCTACTGTAGAATTTTTACCTCATTTTGGTGCCACAGTCCCCTTTGGCAACCTGTGGAAGCCTAAGGACCTCCTCAAAATAATGTGTTAAGTGTATGGAGAAAATATGTATGATTACAAAGGAAGTCAATTATACAGAAATACTCTATCCACACAGTCCTCAGAGGTCCAAGAACCCCACTTAAGGCTATCTGATCAGGGAATAACTCTTCCAGGATGATGAAAGTTTTTTCTGATAGGAAATTTTATGCAGAGAAGTTTTAAAAACCCAAAGATGCATAGGAAAGAATCCTGCTCAGGATCAGTCAGTGAAGAAAAGAATGAGCTGCACGGAGAAGACTGACCTTGAATTTCTACCCAAACTAAACACTATTTGTACTGTGGCTTTAAAATCCTACACTAAGTAATCAGGATTTTTTTTTTTTTCTCCAGCCCTGTACACACAGTATATTCTGTGTACTGATGGCAGGCGAAGAAAGGCAGCATTGGAGAAGGGAAAACAGGCGAATCCTTGCTTGGTCCTAATATTCTAACCAGTTCTCTGCCATTAACTAGCTCTATTAGCTTGGTCAAGTCACTCAGCTCTGAGTTGAAAGTCCCTGTCTATAAAATGAGAAGGTTGAGTTTACCATCTCTAGGACTTCCTAAAACTCTGAATTATTAAGACTCTAAGACGATGCACAATAATTTCTCTGAGAAGAAATATTAATGAGATTTCTTTTTGTCCTAGGTTCACAGTACGAAAATACATTCTAGATGAGAAATTTTTCAGAGGCTTCAGAAATACCTTATGAGAATCATGTAGCCATAGAATTTTAGACTTGGAAGAAATTTTAAGAGCCATGTGGCACTTCACCAATCCCAGTGAGCAGGTGAGAAAACTGAGGTTCAGAAAGGCAAGAAGACTGACTGGAGGTCACATAATGAGGCAATGCTAACAGACCATTGTGACTACTGCCATTTAGCACGGGCAGCATTTTAAGATTAGGCATTGGAAGTACAAACCAGCTCATCAGTTCACTTGAAGAGAGACAGAAATAAACATCAAATAAGCTGAGCTATGGGAGAACTGCACGAGGAAGCAGGTGACTGGGGTGATGATACTCAGCAGCAGTGCCCTATCGCTCGGTCGGACGGGGTCAAAGCTGAGGCTCTCGTATACACTGTAACATCACTGGCAACATCACCCACCTCCCTCAAATATCATGGCCACAAAGTCCATTTCAAAGAACAATCAATTACAAAGAATATAGAATAACTTTTTCAAAAGAGGGGAATGGGTGAATGAACTCTGGCTAATGAGGTCAATAAAACCAAAGTTCCAAGATTTGGATTGTTAATACAATCTTGAAAGGACAACATTAAAGAATATCTAAAACTTAAAAATTCCTGACAAGCATTTTAAAAAGAAACGGATTCCGAGTAATTTTGACCTACCTTCTGTGGACAGACACGAAGAATAGTAACGACTTAGCCAGCATTATTTTTACTAATACCCTCACCACTATCTTTAGAGCATATCATGATCGGCTATTGGTCAGTTTTAAAAGTCATTTCCACAGTCCAAGTGTGTTGACTAGTTTTACATGTGAAGAATTATTAGCTATGAAATTGTTGGGAATTCTGATCTAATTATGATTTCAACCTCATTCAAGTAACCAAAAAGATATCTGCCACATGTGTTTAAAACCTGTACTACACTGAATGCTTGTCAGTTTACCCTCTGCCTTCTCTCACACCCATTCCTCAAGTCCCACAAGACAGTATTCCTACCTTATATAAATAGTTCTAAATTTCAGAACTTTTTTCTTTTTTTTTTAAGATTCTCTGACTAAGAGCTGACACAGACTTTCAAAATCTTCTAAACTAAAGGCTACACTAACTGCTGGTTTGCCAGCTCCGTACTTCATCTCCTCCAGGAATTCCCAGAGGCAGCAGTGCCACCTCCTGGTAGGGACGGCACTACTTGGTTTCTGGAAGCCCTTGGGTGACAGGAGCCAAGGGCCTGAAAGAAAGGCAGCCTAGATTGGTGCCTTTGTGAGCCTTTCTTTTCTAGAGCTCATTACAAGCATAACTGATGCCTATAACCTGAGCCACAGAACCTCTGCAGGAGACCCATTCGTGAAAGGCAGGTCTTCTGGAAGCCATGGAAAGCCCAGCCGGGCTAGCCAATACATGAGGCAGCTCTGCCTGGTAATGCCTCCTCAAGGCAGAGCCTCACGGAATTAAACATTTCCTGGCTCTCCTTGAACCCCAGTGCTCTCTATCAGATGATCTCACCCACAGCCCCACCTGTGGCAGTGTTATTCAGCTCTATCTCACAGCATGTGTCCCAGGGAAGGCTCTTAGATTCACACAATGTGACACAGATCCTGCTCAAAGGACACTACTGCTTAGGCATGCAGGTCGGGCCCTAATCCCTCTCATTCACTCTCCACCCTCCCCATCCCTGACCCAGGGGACAGAAACGACGGAGAGGAAATGATTTTGTTGTTGCTTTGAAAGCAACACTAGTGGGCTTTTATTGAATCAGAGAATAAAACCTTGTCCTGTAGGTCACCGGGGTACGTTGCTTCCTTCAGAATGAACTAAGCCTGCCAATCTCCCTGTTTTCTCCTGGGTAAACTAATAAGTGTTCCTCAACCTTTTCAAAACCCCTGCCTCCCTTCCACAGGCTAAACATAAACACTGCATGCCCTCTGTGTAGTTTATATGAACAAAGATGACATTTGAGAAAAACATGGAAGCATGCCTTTCAAACTATATCACCTATCCCACATTCAGAATTCTTTCCTCCCCACCCCCATCGCATACCAGCTAAAAAACAAATCACTGACAAATTTTTAAAGCATTCCCGCTACTTTGCTTTATGCTCCAATCTATCAATATATACTTCACTAGGCTTGTTATATTCCCGACAAGCTTTGCAGCAACTTCTCCTACTTTCATTCACCTCAGAAAATCACCAAAAGTTGATTTGCTGTAGCTGATAAACGCTAGGTCTGATCCCCCCAACCCTCACCCCTTCCCCTAACAAATTTAAGTATTCCCTCTTCAACTCGTGTTAACTTGCCAAGTAAATTAATTTCTCAGCATGTGTAGACATTTCACCGGCGTGAGTGTTTTAGATGTATGAAAAATCGCACTGTTTCCTAAAAAACACAAAACTTTGTACAGGGAAGGTAAGAGTAAGTGATAAAAGGGCTTTTGAACAGTATTGGGATGTCTTGGAGAAATCAGGTAAAAAGATTCTTGTCCATCATTACCAGACTTAGTTCTAAGTGGATTACAGTGAAACTCCAGAACACAGTAAAATCTTCCGAATGAGTTAGTGGAACCATTTCTTACCAAATAGACTACTAGGTACATCAACTAAATTAACACATTAGTTAACCGATAGAAAAGGGAATGAACTTTTTATATTCCAATCTCAGAGGCACAGCATGCCCTTGCTACTGCAGATCTGGGGGAAAAGAGGAGGGTGAGGCTAGAGGATGCCTTGCACACACCCTCCCTTTTTAAAGTATGACTTTTAAAAAGACATCGCCACGGCCACAGCACACACCCTGCTTTTGGCACCCAAATGGCCTTCTTTAAACACACGCTTTTCAAAGAATTAAGGAGGTCTGAATAAGTGTAATTTAGACCCTGCCTTCCCTTCTCCCTACAGGCCATTAACACTGAAAATAATTACTCGCTTGGACAGCCCCAGAAAAACCTCAGTTTACAGAGATTACCACCCCTTCCCCGCACTCACCCCGCCCCCTTCCCCACAAGCCCCAGTCTTCTTGAAGAATCTCCATGTGACGGGCTGGTCTGCAGTTCACTGCAGGCATTTCCCTCCATACAATGTCCCAATCATCAGTGTCACTGTAATTCCTTTTTGTAGCCTCTTGTATACACTTGCTCTATCAGTAGTACCCAACTGCTTAAATTTTTTTTTCTTTTTTCCTCCTCTTAGCGAATATCTGGATTCCTCCGGCAGGTGTAAAGCCTTCGGTTTCCGTGCAACTCCGGGGTGAGAGCTCGCGTGCAGGTCCAGAGAAACCTTAGGAGGGGCAGCCCGGGCTCGGTGCAGCGGTCCTGCCCCCGTTCGCCCGCACAGCTGCGTTAGGAATTCGGCTTCGCTCGCCGCCGGATTAGTTCGAGTCCCGCGGCTTGGCCAAAGTGACACTACATGTGTGTTTTTTTCTCCGCTCTGACATGCGGCAGGTCCCGCTGCAGGAAAGCCATCTGCTCCCGGCCCCATCCCTGGTCCCGCGGCCGGCCGGGACGCTCGCGCCCCAGCACCCTCACCCTTTACCTGGGGAGGGAGCCGATACAGCATCCCTCCGGGCGGGGAACAAAGGCGGAGGAGAGACTGCCAGGTGGGCAGCTACCCACGGCGGACCAGTCCCCGCGGAGAGCAGAATGGGGAGGTGCAGTAGAGGGTAGGGAAAGGGGAAACGGAGGCACCGAGAGGGGGCGGCTGAGCCGGGGTCTGCATCTTCCCCTAGCGGGGCTCCTCGGACGGGCGGACCCCAGATCTCCCCCCCACCAGCCCAGCCCTACCCGTCCGGCTCGCCAGCATCCGGCCTCGGACTGGCTGGGGGCCGCCCTGCGGCGGCGCTCACCTCGGGACCAGCGCTCCAGCTGCTCCGACGGCTCTGGAGAAAGCCCGCCGCACGCGCACGCGCACTCGCGTTCTTGCGCCCTCACGCCCCCACGCGCGCCCCGGAGACCAGCCCTGTCTGTCAGCGTCTGCAAGAGCCAATCGGATAGCGCGGGAGGCCCGGCGCCGGTCACGTGGTCGGTGCAGCCAATCAGCAAATGTCCTCGGCAGCGGCCTCTCCGATGTCCCTGGAGGTTGGGTTGCTACCCAGTGGAGCCGGTGCGAGGCAGGCACAAAGGGTTGAGTCTCTGTTTTGGGGGGGCTGGGTGGCGCTGGATGGATCAATTACTAGATCAACTGATATGTCCAATTCTAAATGCGAATGGGACTTACCTGGATATTTGTTCAAAGGAGGATTCTGATCCAGTAAGTCTGGGACTTTCTAATAGTTAGATGATGCTCCTGGTCTGAGGACCACCTTTTGAATGGCAAGATTTTAAGGGCACTTGCCAGAAAATGATGGTTATAGCCCCTGCTCCCTGTTAACTCAAAGTTTCCAGATTTTTTTCTCCTTCCTTGTGTGTTGGATTGCATTCCAGTGACTGACTAAACATGGGGTGCTTTGGTGACGGTCACAGTTTGGGCATCAGCTGGGGGAAGGTGTGTTTACTTTCCACATCTACCCACCTTTAGTCTATGGGGCTTGGAGTGTGGAAACTAGAAGCAGGGACTGCATGCTCCTCCTAGAGAACACTAGGTCACCCGAAAGCAGCGGTTCTCAACCTGTGGGGGTCGAACGACCCTTTCACAAGGGTCACCTAAGACCATCGGAAAACATATATATAATTACATATTGTTTTTGTGATTAATCACTATGCTTTAATTATGTTCAATTTGTAACAATGAAATTGGGGGTCACCACTACATGAGGAACTGTATTAAAGGGTCACAGCATTAGGAAGGTTGAGAACCACTGCCTAAAGCAGTGATGGCTAACCTATGACACACGTGTCAGAGGTGACGCGCGAACTCATTTTTTTGGTTGAGTTTTCTTTGTTAAATGGCATTTAAATATATAAAATAAATATCAAAAATATAAGTCTTTGTTTTACTATGGTTGCAAATATCAAAAAATTTCTATATGCGACACGGCACCAGAGTTAAGTTAGGGTTTTTCAAAATGCTGACACGCCGAGCTCAAAAGGTTCGCCATCACTGGCCTGAAGCATGGAGCACGTGCATCTGAGTGCCACTGTGCTATCTATACTCTTGGCCAGAGAGAAGCAACAGAAGGGGTTTCTGGAAACTTACAATCTGTTGTAGACCTACACAGGCAAACTCAGAAAGAAGCATATAGGAAGCACATGCAAAAAGCTAAGGCTCTCAGCATCTAGGAAGATTCGGGCATAAGCCAGAGAAGTTGTAAATTAATCTATTTTAGGAATCTTAAGACTTGCCCAGATATCCTCTTGTTAGCAATTCCAGAGTCTGGAAGTCAGGAAGCCCAGTGTCTCTGCTATATAGAAACTTTGTTGTCCAGCATAGTCAAGCTCTTTATTGCCCCCAATAGTGTGACACAGTGACTCAAAGGTCTAAGTGCTAAATCCTCCAAAACCTCTTCAGACCAGGTGGTATGACACTGCTTCTAGCAGTTTTCTCATACTATTTATAAAGGTGATCAAACTGCCACTTAGAGAAAACTTTCCCCTTTCAGCGTGTCTTGGGCCTCTCTGCCTTACCAGCCCCGGAAGTAAAGCCCACTTAGCAATGGACACGTTGTTCATCACATCTCTTTCAGAGGTGGCAAAGCACAAAAATCAGAGCTTCGGGGAACACCTTGAATGTGGCATCACAATGGTTCTGGTCATAATAGGAGTAAAGAAATTTCTAGCCCTGGCCTGCGTGCCTCAGTGGTTGGAGCATCGGCCCGCATGCACCAAAGGGTTGTGGGTTCAATTCCCGGTCAAGGACCTGTACCTGGGTTGCAGCCCCAGTCCTTGCACGTGGGGAGTGGGAGGGACAGCTGATCAATGTGTCTCTCTCACATGGCTTTCTCTCTCTCTGTCTGCCCCTCCCTCCCTTTCCCTCTAAAAATCAATAGGGAAAAAGTTCTTGGGTGAGGATTAACAAAGCAACAACAACAAAAAAGAAACGTCTAGTCAAGAAAAATATGTTCAAAAGTCTCAAAGAAAGCTTCTTTTGCTGTCATTAAACCAGTGGTTCTCCAGCCTGACTGCACAGTCAAGCTTTTAAGGAAAGAGATTTGGGGGCCCTGTGTCTGGAGATTCCGATTGGGGTGAACAACTATCGGTTTAAAACGTTCCACAGGTGATTTGTAGACAGCCATGCTTGAGAACACCTGCATAAGCTTCTAGATACATAGACTCACTCTTTAACAAGGGAAAATCACTTCCACAACACAAATCACTAATGCCATGAAGACTCTGAAAATGGAGGAAAGTGTCCACATAATTTGTGAGAATAGATTTTTTTAAAGACCAAAAATAATGCATAGGTAATAAATACTCCAAAGACTATTCACTGGAACAAAATGAAAAGCCAGGTTTAATTCTAGTTGATTAAATAATATTACAAAAAGAACCTATTAACTTTTGTTAACCTTACCAGACTGATTGACTCTGGTTATATCATCCCTTGTTTTAAAACCTTTCTTAACTAAAAGCCAATTTCTACAGGGGGGCCTTGACTTACGAGTGTCCCGACTAACAAGTTTTTCGAGATACGAGCCGTCTCTCGGCCAATTTCTTGCTTTGAGTTGCAAGCTAAAATTCGGGTTACGAGCCAGCTTCATATACCCCACCACTAGTTGGCGCAGCGAACGTCACAGGGAACACCACAACATCAGCCCAGCATCACGTGTCTCACTCGTTCACAATTGATTTGACATACGAGTAATTTGAGTTACGAGCTCCGTCACGGAACGAATTGAACTCGTAAGTCAAGGCCCCACTGTATTTGAGATTGTGGAGTTATTCTCTACTTCCCAAACTGTGTAACAGAATCACCTGGAGTACTTGTTAAAACGCAGATTCCTAGCTGCCCTCTTCTCCTCACCCCTCCCAAATTTCTTCTAACCTCTCCTGCAAAAAGTTCAAAGCCAGTACTGGTTAAAGTTGAGTCCAAGTTGTACCTCGTGATACAGAACATCTGGATACTGTAGGCAAAATCTCAAGTAAAATAGCTATGCTATTAGTTCAATGTGCTATGCTAGCTAAATAAAAGGAGTCTATTTGAAAGAATTTGAAAAAAGTCTTTATTGGGGTTCTACCATATTTTGTTATTTTGTTAAATAAAGTGATCAATGCCTGGATCTTGGAAAGCTGTTTTTGCTCAGAATTTTTCTATTTAGTGCTATTCGCTGTAGTGGAGTATGGCCTAGTTTTTAACTGAATTAGTGAGGTCCCCTCAGAACTCTCTGCCAACAATAGCCATCTTTCTAGGAAGTAACTTTATGTGCCACATCCAAAATATGGAAGCCCCATGTGTGAGCCTAAAAACTAGCTTTCCTTGGGCTCAAAAACTAACATTTAAATGGGGGATACATTTTTCTCACCTTGTAAACTTATAGCTTTATCTACTGGGTAAAATAAGTAGCAGGAGAAATTAACATTTTAAAAATATATTTTATTGATTTTAGAGAGAAACATTAATGTGAGAGAGAAACATCGATCAGTTGTCTCTGGTACACAGCTGGACATGTACCCTGACGGGGAATCGAACCAGTGACCTTCTGGTGCATGGATGACACTCAACCAACTTAGCCACACCAGCCAAGGCAAGCAATTTAAATTTTCAATGAGGAAAAAAAAAAAAGCATTTATGTTTCTCTTTGTAAGTGTCATCATTACAAAAAGAGGCAACAGGAAACAAAGAGATTTTTGCTTCGGGAATTTGAAAAAGAACATCCAGGCCATCATTTTGTTTCTTAGCCTGCTTGCCTCATGTATAACCTGGTTATCCTATCTCAGGAAATGGATATGTTAATGTCTGATAAAAATCATGACTTAGCTTAAGCAGTACTCCCCTCCCCCATTACTCTCTAGAAATTGCTTGACAAAATTAGGTATATTTGAAAAGAAAAGAGAGAGAAGATATAAACTGCTGAGTCACCAGAAATTCACCCATTGCTCCATTACAATCAGAACCCCCAGAGACTGCTTTATAATTGCTAATTATGTTTTTATCACTCTAGCAATAAATAGCTTCCCTAAATTTAATTTATTTCATTCATAAAGATCCACAGATTATCCAAGATTCTAGTCTTCATCTGACGTATAAATCCAGCCAGGATAATATTTTAAATCTATGTATCTGTGTTTTAATAACTAGTACCTTCTTTTCCATTTAGCATATCTGTGTACAGATGTATCCCAACACATTGGACATTTTAAAGATATGTTTTTAATTCTTACATTCTTTATCTATATATATAAAAGGCTAATATGCTAAGTGTCCCTCCACCTTTCCGACCAGTCACTATGACATGCACTGACCACCAGGGGGCAGACGCTCAATGCAGGAGCTACTATGACATGCACTGGCCATTTACAGAGAAACGGCAGTATGGACCTGGTGCCCACAAAGTAACGCTCAGCTTCCCACAAGTGGGACACAGGCCCCACCACCACCCTGAAGCAACAGCCCACCAAGTTGCAGCAGAGACCCCGATGGTGCAAAATGCTGCCCACAGCCTAGCCCAGCCCTGAAATGGTGGCTGTGGGCACCGGGTGATGACGTCACCTAGCAACGCCTGGCTTCCTCTCCCTAGTGACTAGCCTCCTTGGAGTTTCTTCAGCCCAGAAACATGACTTGCTTTATAGCCAGGTAGAAACATTTACACTTTAACCAAATATCTGTGAAGCGTTTTCCTATGCCTCATCTCATTTGATCTTCACAGAAATCCTGGAGTAGATAGATAGAAGAGTAGGTAGATAGGAGACTCGGTGGAATCCAATTTTCTTTTCATTAGCCGGAAAATGGAGATTTAGAAAGCTTAAAAACTTGACCCGACTGAAAAGAAGTAAAAAATGATGGA